ATCAATTATGCAGAAGACTTAGTCTTGTCCATTTGGTCAGACGTTTAATAAAGTTGTTGCAGAAAGCCATAGAAGTTCAGTACTTTTTAATTTTTTTTTTCCAAAAAACCCACTTATCTTTGTAAGGCTATATAAAGCAATTGCTCTAGTATGGTAAAGGGTATGCCTCAATATTAGGATGTTGTTCTGTTACTACTAAAAAGTTAATTTTTTGATTTTTCACATTTCTTACTCTTTGCTTATATAGCACCTTAATTCAATGTAAAATTTCTGGTCTTAATACTGTGTAAATTACTCTTAATTGACTGAAAATTATTAGCTAGACTGTATGGATTTATGTCATTATTATTTTGTAAACATGTCAGTCGTACCAAAGTTACTGAAATGCTGCTGAATGGCATGCATATCAAGATTTGCCTGCCCTTACTCCTTCCCTTTAAAATAAATACCTTTCTTTTCTTTGCTATTTGAATTCTTGGGAGAAAAACCCAAACTTTAAGTTTTAAAGTGTACCGTAGAGTTTACAAACATTGCATTTCTTTTTCTGTATATAAATATAGAGAGAAGGAGAGAGAGAGAGAAGGACAGAGAATGCGCATTTGGGAAGTGGGTGCAATTCCAAAAGTGATTTCTGTTTCATCTCTTCGATCAAGCAATCTAGATCTCATTGGTCTTCACTTCTCTCCTTTTAAAACATGAATATTTTTAAATGAGATATAGTAAGCCTCCACAATGAGGTAATAGTTAGGCTAGTATAAGTAACATAGCCTGTTCAGTGGCATGGCTCTGGATATACTTTTCTTTCTTAAATGGGAGAAGTACTGACAATTTAGCCACCAAATTGGAGAGCAGTTGAGATCTGGTCTAAGCTTACTAAGCAAAAATTTATTCTAATTCCATGTTTAATCTATAAAATGGAATGTTAAGGTAAATATTTGGGATTTTTAATTGATAAGTATAAGGGAAATGCGTGACAAAGTTGTTTTCACACTAATGGAGAAGATATTTTCAAAATATGCTGTAAATACAAAGTAAATTAATTTTATCAACCTTTTTGAGGTTAAATTAAAGACCTTTCTTTTGTAGCCTGTTTTGAGTATATTGTGATTAGCATGTTCTCTCTTTGTTATAAGGAATAGTGTTTGGGTTTTTTTTATCCTAACATCCTTCAAATATAGACTGCTTCTCACTGAGCAGTTTTTTTCATTATTTTCTACTTTTGTGTACATGTTTAAAAACACAAAGATAAGAACTCTTTGTCTGCAGTGTGAGGTTTATCAGGACCCCTAATGCCAAAGCAGTGTGTTATCTGATGCCAAACCAAGTCGTCTGATGCTTATTAAAACCAAGAGACTTCTTGGTAGGGATGGTGACAAATATATTTGTGCCGAAAATTTGCTGCTGGTGGCCTACATGCTTATACTCAGGTCTTCTGATCCTGCATTGAAAGTTTGTCCTTAATTTTCTTCCTGCAGTGTCCTTGTATCCTATCTACAGTTACCGATCTCTCTGTTTAGGAGTGAGCACCTTTGCATAGGTGCAGTTACAATATTTTCGTTATTCTAAACAGAAATGCTGCCTGAAGCTTTTCAAGGAGCATAAAAGTTGATCTTGCATCAGAATAATTAGTTAGGTTCTAACATAAATTGTTGGGGTTTAGGGTGTAAATATGTAGACACAAGGATGCAAATTAGCCCCAAGGGCATCAGTCCATGTAGACTTTCAATAGTAGATTGTACCTTTAAATCCTGGTTCTCAGTCTTTAACTGCTATAGTGCTACTTAGAGTCAAAGTAGGTTTGCTTTTTTCTCTTGAAGATTGAAAGCAGCAAACGTTTTAATTTAGTCTTTAAAAACTAGGAAGATGCAATTCAAAGGGCTTGACTCAAGCGTGTTCTGATGAGAGGCACTCATATAACTGCACGTGTACATAACTAGCAGTGTCTGTCTGTAGGCTGTCTTTGTCTTGTCTGAAATTACTGAAAATGTGTCAGCTCTGAGTGCATGTTGATGTACCTTAAAATTCCTTGACTCGAGAACGGAAGGGATCTCAAAGTCGTTTACAGACACTGTGGGACTTTTTTTTTTTCTAAGTTAACCTGCCGTTTTGCTCTGGCATTCAATCAGCACGGGTAAAACTGCTAACGTGAAGGCACATTGTAATGAAAAGCAGGTAAAAGTTGTGTGCTTCCTAGGCTAGGCAGGAAAAGTATGTGCCAGAATAATTGCCACCCTCTTCTCCCCAATGTTACAATCTGTTAACAAATACAGGAAATGTACTTTGCTGAAAGCAGTGCAGTGTGGAGATCTACCATGTTGTTCATGATATATTTTGCTTCATTACTTGTGTCTCAAAGCATTTAACTCAATTTTTGAGTGATTTAGACTGTAGTTTTTAGTATACTTCATGTAGAACATGCTTGACAAATCTGTATTGTGTTTGTGTTCACTTGTACAGTGGATCAGTGTTAAATGCTTTATGAAGCAAAAACTAATTCTGTATTTTAATTTGTTTTTTCTAGTACAATCTTACTGCTTTTTACCCATGATACAGTAGAACTTCAGTCACAAGTTTCACACCCTTGCAGATGCTTATAAAAATGTGTAATAGGTAACTAATAACAACCTGTCATGAAGTTCTTAATGACTTTTAAAAGTTACATACTTTTACACAGAGTATTTTTTTTTTACACATAAAAGACAGACCTCATACGGGGAAAAAAAAGCTAATTCCTAAAATTTCACAAAGATTTAAATTACTGTGATTTGAAGTTCTACTACATAGTATATGTTTCATCTGTACTGGGAAATTAGTGTTTCAAGCTGACAAGTTCTTGCTCTTTTTTGACAGTTTTGCAGGGAACATTTCATTTCTTTGGCAAGTCTGTCTGTTTGGTTTTTTAAATCTTGTTATGAGGACACTTCTGTGACTTTGTAATACAGTCCTTGAGAGAAAGCTCCATTCATGGGAAATATGCACTTAGAGCAGAGGACTTAAAGTTGGGATTCCAGTGGTCTGGTTTTGGCTCTCTAAAATATTTGGCATGTGGTATTACTGAATGGTATGTATTTTGGCTTTCCAAAGGTGCTGAAGGTATCCAGCCTCCATTGAGTTCAGCGGTTTTCGTAAAATTTGACCTACTGGCTTTCTGTACTTACTTCATTAGTATGTCAAGTTGGTGTAATATTCACTAGCTATTAAGAGGCCTGACTGAGTGAAATATGTAAATATATATAATCTTTCATGCAATTGTTTCCATGTCAGATATATACACAAGATTGATTTTCTTAAACATGTACTAACTGGTCACTCTATGGTCAAGCTCTGCTGTAACATGGACTTTTTAAAAACAATCTATTCTTTGTGTGACTGGTGATTATTTCTTTTTAACCAGCTGGTGGCTTACTTTGACATAACTTTCAACCTGTTCATACAAGTTTTGTTATGTGGAAATGCTAATTCTTTTTAAATGTGTTTTTATATAAAAGTATTTTAGAAGGTGAACTTGTGCTAGTGAAAGATGTCTGTGCTGGAGACTAAATTTGCTGAAATACGCTGATAATCCTTTATTATATAAAACAGAACAGAGATGACCTTGGTCATGTAATCTAAAGAGTGAAATAAATGAGTAGGTCTATAGGTAAAGTGATAAAAGGTCTATAGTAAGACCGCTTGCATCAAACACACTGGTTTCAGGCATTCTGCAACTAAGTTTTAAGAAAGTATCTGTGTAAAAATGCTGACTTTTTTTGGAAATTTGTACAAAGTTGCAATTCAGAAGATCAGTATTTTAAATATATTTGTAAATAAAGACATCAGAGTAAGAAAGGCAATTTCAACATCAGCTTTATAGTGGAGTGCAGTAGTGCTTTTACTTATGAAAAGCTTACATAATATGTAATATTTCTTTTCTCTTTTAGGCCCATATTAGGTAAATGTTACGCAACTTGCACATAAAATCACATCTTAAGTTAATACAACTATATGACATAACAGCAATGATGTAACACAAAACATGCTTTTGATCAAATAATTTCGTTTTGCAACTAAACTTCAGATAGTGAAATTACTTTCTTATGTTATGTATTGAGGTTGCAGAATTCAGTTGTTCAGCTCAGCAAAGAGCCAACCCAGTCTTTCACCAGTTAGATAAACTGTATTAAGATAAAATATTCTGGACTGCTTTTAAGTGCAATAAAAAACCAGATAGCTGAGATAACTGATATAGAGATGAGAAAAAGATAAAACTGTAAGACCATCAAAATAATCTATTGTTTGAGAAAATAGTTCAGATCTGCTAAAATTGTTAGTGTGAATGATGCCCCCTCTCTGAGGGTCTTGAGTCTCTTTGCAAAAGTTATTTAAGCAGCAGAAGTGGAAGTAGTGTAGACAAAGAAACTTGAGTTGCAGAAGCCACACCAAAAGCCAGCTGGAGTTGAGAACAGAACACTGATCCCCCAGTCCTCTTCTGGCTACACAGTGGGCCTTGCTGTGTTTGTGCTTACCTCTCTGAAAAGGAGTTTAAAATTTTACATTACTTTCACTGAGGATTGCAAGATTTACTTCTTTTCTATTTCCCTATTTTAAGGTGTCAGGAGTCAGCTAAAATTAATTTTTTTCCAAAGTTTGTACTTAGAAGTGTAATGCAATTGAAAATTAAAACCATTGTAGTAGTGAGAGCAACTTCAGTTTTGCTTTTCCCTCTTTGAGTGGTCACTTCTTACACTTTTCTTGCTTTCTCTGGAACTACCTACTGATCATGAAGATGTTTCTTTTTTCAATAAACTGGCAGAAAATGTTGTTATAGTAATCAGTGGTAGGGTTCCCAAATGAAAAACAAAAACAAAAAAATCTAAATATCTCTCTCTGTCTCACAGAAAGGTGGTAATGATATGCAGGAAAAAAATGATAGCATGGATCTTAACAACTTTACCGAGTAATATGTTAAAGTGTTACTACATCTGAGTTGGAATACTGTCAAATTCTATGTTTATATACAGGAACTTGACGAGAGGAGTTGGTAGATTTAGAGAGCTACTAAGAGCTGTTGAAACAAGAACTACACAAAATCTGCGAATGGTAAGTTATATTAAACCACATTCCTATTGTAGCATCTGAATTTTAGTAGGCAGGTAAAGCATAAATATAGTGGATGAGTTAAAGACAAATATTCAGATACACAGATACAGACTGATCAGGATCTGTAATGTACTACTTCATAATGTTACATTTCCTGGGTTAAGTGAATGATTAAAATAAAAAGGAATGCTTGATATCCGGTCTCTCCCCTATTTCTCTTTCCTATTTGTAGTTATGGTTAAAACATAATTGGTCTCTGGCTGACTATACTTTCAACCTTCATCATAATTGCCCTATTTATGACTTAACATAGTTTCAGAAGGATGTTATTTCATGTTTTTTGTAATGTAATGGGAGTGAGGACAGAGTACAGTGTCTTTATGTATGTTCTATTAAGGCTGAAGTTGTCAAGTTCTCATTTCTTAATTTTTGTGATAAAGCCTCTTAAAGGAAAACAATAAAATCAAAATAATGAATATTTGTTATTTATATTGTCAGAAAAGAAACCTCTACCAAAAGGTATCTTTTTTGCATCTTTTATATAATAAAAGGCCAAGACTTTCTTTTGCCCTAAAGTAATGATTTTCAAAATATCCTAGATCAGTTTCCTAATACTAGGCCTTTAAAACTTCCACAGTGGTAATAAGGAAGGTAATTCTTTTCTTAATTCATTTAATAACTGACTCCTAGTAAGGATATTAAAATTATTAAATAATAGACTTTGAATGGGGATGGATAATATTGCAAACTTTACTAGAATGAAAGATGAAGACCTTCTTATGGTGTAGGAATTAAAGTGGAAGATGCAGATCATATGGTGCTGTCCTTGGCTTAAACATTACACATCTGTTGCTGGGAAGTGTTGCTGGGAAATACTGCCAATTCTGAAGCAAGTGTAAATCTTGCCTTCTTTCTACTGCCCTGGTGCTAATCTCTGATTTTTCATCGTCATGATATATAGTTGTGCAGCTTGTATGCATATGTATTAAACATTAAAGTGGAGATTAAGCTGATAGTTATGGGTTATAGGATGACTTCAAAGATTTAAATTTATATTTACTTAAATAATATTTGTGTTAAGTATTTCTACACTTAAATATATGGTGCCAAGACTAGTTGGTCAAAATAAACTGTTTCATGCTGATCTACAACCTTGTTTCACTCTTGCTGAGCCTTACCGACGGTAGCAAACAACCAGCACCTTCAGGTACAAGTTGTCAGAAGCCCCAGTCAGTTGGGATTTGGACTATAATGGTCTGTGGTGAGTTGACCTTGGCTGACTGCCAGATGCCCACTCAGCTGCTCTCTCCCTCTCCTTCCTTAACATGATGCGGAGAAAATAAAAAGATAGAAAAGCTTCTGGGTTGAGGTAAAGACAGGGAGTTTGCTTAGTAGTTACTGTCATGCACAAAACAGGCTCGACTTGGGGGAACTTAATTTATTGTCAATTAAAAGAGAGTGGGATGCTGAGAAACAAAGACAAAAACTAAACACCTTCCCCCCACCCCCTTTCCCCAGGTTCAACTTGAGTCCTTCATTCCTGACTCTTCTACCTCCTCTCCCTACCCTCCCACTCCGAGTAGTGCATAGAGGGTGGAGAGTTGTGAGTCCGTAACAGTTCCTCTCTGCTGCTCCTTACTCCTCACACTTTTCGCTTGCTCCAGCGTGGGGTCCCTCCCATGGGCTGAAATCCCTTCAGGGAATGGCAGCCTGCTCCACCATGCTTCTCTCAGCAGGCTGCAGTGTGGACATCAGTTCCACTGTGGTCCTCTCCACAGACCGCAGGCAAGCATCTGCTCCACTGTGGTCTCTCCCACGGAAGCATCTGCTCCGGGCATGGAGAGGCAGCAGAGGTTACTGAGCACAAAATACCTGAAAATATACCTGGATGTGCTCCACTCTTGGGATGAACAGTTGGTGGTGTTGATACTTCAGAAGTATTTGGATTTAACTGATAAAATTGAAAAATTGTTTGTTACTGCCATTTTTTTTCTCTGTGTTTAAAGAATTGAACTAGGTACCTGTACCTTTCAAACAGTAGTATGACTGGTTTTTTGGATGTTTTAAAATAACTGAAAATACGTTCTACATGACTAGTGTTCATTAGAAATAATCTAAGCGTTCCTGAAGAGTTTGTATTCAGTATTTCTAAGGAAAATATTTATCTTTCACAGACAATAGCAAGACAGCTGGCTGAAATTTTGTTACGAGGCATGTGTGAACAGAGTTACTGGAATCCACTGGAAGATCCTCCTCATCAATCACCCCTAGATGATCCACTTCGAAAAGGTTCAAATACTAAGAATTACGTGCTCAGTAGAAGACCACGGGTATACACTGGAGAAAAGTATGGCTAAGTTTATATCTCTCTTGTTTCTACAAATGCAATTGTTACCCAGTGCACTGGTAATTTAATTTACATTTTTGAAAATGTAGAAGGAATTGGGCAATGTGAATGGGAATGTTTCCCATACTGTGTCTATATATATTCCTTGAAGAGAACTCAGGAAGCAACATGCTTCTCCAAGCAGAAGTTTGCACTGTATGCATGAGACCTTTTGTTGTCAATTCTCAATTATTTTTTTTTTTGTTCTATACTGGGCTATATGGTAGAGTCAATATCTCTTATACATGGGATACAGAAGAAAATATGAACTGGGTGGCAAATCTGAGATTGCACATTTCAAAAGTTGTGTGCTGTCTAGAAAGACCTCTATTCTACTTTATCAAAGGAAGGAGAGTTAGAAATATGGAGATTCAAATTCATCCCTGAAACATTATAAAAAAAAATTCAAAACATCTCTAGCAATGTATTTGGCAGTTTCAAAGGTAGTTTATTTCTCAAGGCTGCCACTTTTTAATTTGCTTGGGTTAGTTTTGACATTTCTGTATGTTGCCACCTTTTTATTGAGTTTTATTCTTCCACTGATTCAGGTAAATGGTATGCTATGTATCATTTTTATGTAGTGTATCCCGTGGTTAATTCTAGAGTAGCTTTGGTGTGTATCTCTTTGTTCTTGAAAATGTATAGGTTTGTTTTTTTTTTTTTCAAAATCGGTCACAATTAATATTAAGTGTGGATAACCATTTCCTTGAATTTGAACTTGATAATGTAAGTTGCTTGTTTGTATCTGATCAAATGAAAAATGGTTTCTAAGGTAAAGTTGTTTTCCTTAAACACACTCTGACAGTGCCAAAAATATATATTGACAAGACTTTGCACTTTACTACAGTCCTTGGGTATAGCTTACTGCCTGAAAGTAATGTGCTTGTGTCAAAAGTATACTGGTGAATTCTTAACCATTTGGCACTGTCTTTTTATTTTTTGTATCATTGATACTCAGGTTGATCTGATGAAACTTTGTTATATGCTTGTTTTTACATAATCTGCAACCTTTGCACTGCTCTACTTCTATACACAAGTCCTTGTGGGGTCTTATATTTTGTATGTATAAATTTAATATAGCCAACAACTATTGCTTGCTTCTTTTGATACATGCTGGAAAGCACTGTGAGTCAGAGAACTGAGAAGCAGATTGTAGCAGTGGAGGTAATGATCTAGCCAAGACTGTGGTTTGCCGTAGTAGGACAGTGCTAATGCAGATGGAGAAGACTGAAATTCTATTTAAACTTAGGAAAACAACTTTATAGAAGAGGATGTGGAGTTTGGAAAATATCACTGGAGATACTCAAAATCCAACTGGACATGGTTCTGAGCAACCTGCCGGTTGACCTTGCTTTGAATGGAGGGACTGTACTAGACAATCCCCAGACACCCCCTCCAACCTCAACTATTCATGATTCTGTGAAATCCTATGTGATCTGGGAATGTCTTTCAAGGAGACTGTTCCGTATGAAATTTTTGACCCTTTTTCTCCAAAGAGTTTATTATTATTATTATTATTGTATTGTCCAGCTGGATTAAAACCTAGGTGTTGTGAATTTTTTAATTTCAGTCTTGTCTGACTATGTCTAGGATGTGAAGTCATTAAAAAGCAGTCTTTTGAGCTTTAGGAAAAGATACAAGAGTTGAATGTTCAATTTGCCAAAACAACTACTGTATTTCTCTGCAAGTACGTAATTAACAAACTGTGCATGCAGGCAGCCTTTCTGGTAAAAAAGAAATACCTGGTTTGTGGATACACCTTGATTACTGCACCTAAAGTGTGCATTTATTGCCTAAATATGAAGAAGTCTGTCTTTTTATGCAGTCACACATTTTCTCATTCAAACTACTTGGTTTCACACAGCAAATCCTAAAGAACAGTCTGTTCCTCTCTTACAGTATATATGCCTTAGTAGTTAATATTAAAGCTTCTTTCATAATGTGATTTTGTTACCTGCAAAAGAGTCTGCTTCTAGGGTAGATTGCTTGTAGAAGTAGGCCTACCTTAAATTCTGAAGAGTCATTATATTTTAGTGTTCACAGTGCCTTTATATTGTAATGTAAAATACTGTCATACTGCAGGCATTTGAGTTGTTTAGCTGCATTTATTGCACATTTCCATGAACAAATACTTTATATAGCAGCAAGCCCACATGATTTTGGTGTCATTGTTAGTAGCAAGCAGAATAGCCTTTATCTTCAAAGATTTCTAGCAATTCTTCCTTGATCTAGAATACTTACGTCAGGTTTCTCAGGCTCAGTCTTTCAAACTTATGTTCTTCATTCTCAACTCATCCTTTTGTAGAAACATGTCCCCTGGCAAAAATTGGGCTTTGTTCAGTGTAATTTTCTTGTTCTTGGGACATGCAAGTGAGGAGTTCCACAATTTCAACAGAGCATGTAATTAAGTCCTTTTCTTTCATCACATCAGAGTGATTTATACCAGATCAGATAAAACATGTCTTGCCAAGTATCTCATCTCCAGCAGTGATTGAAAGTAAGTACCTAAGACAATGCATAGCAAGACAGACATGTAGGAAACTTCTTCCTAGATATTCATCTGACCACCAACTCTGTGTTTGGGATGTACTGGTTTTTTTTCTAAATATGTTGCCTGATACCTCAAATAACTGCATTGTCTTCTTTTGAGGATGGTGAATGTGATTTGGCTAATACCGTTTCTGATTTTGTAGGTCTCTATGTTACTGCCTCTTCAGTTTTCTCTGTCTTTGGTTGAAGAACTGTTAAACAACTTGGTTTGCCTTTGATTGGTAGCCATTTCATGCTTCCAGTTGCCTTTTTTGCTCTGCCCTCTTACCTTGGAATTACTTTACCCATATGCCTGCATCTGGGAGGAGACACAAAAGATGTCTGAATTCAGTCAGCTAAACTGAGCTTTTTGCATACACAGGTCAAAGAAGTTTCCCAGTAATTTCTTCATGAAGAGGATCTTCACTGTTTGAGACAAACATCAATGTATTTACCAAAATATATTCAAAGTTGTAGGAGAAAATTTGCTTTTGTTTTGATTAATTACTTTTTAGTAGTTCTCTTCGGGGCAACTTCTTTTTTTTTCTCTGAGAAAGTAATTTCTCCAGCAACTATTTCCAATCGTTATTCTGCTTTCTGGGAACCATTGCCAGTTGGTCAGGCTAAATCTACTTTGAGGTTGCTAAATTCTGTGTTGAAGACTGGATAGGTAAATGGGGAGCTCTGCTGTGCTGCTTCTTTACCCCTCATTCCCTGTCCTGGGTGATTCTTATTCATGAGGAACTGTGTTTTGAAATTTCTTTGTTATGTAAACATAAAAATGTCTTCTAAGACTTAGAATACTCTTCAAAAGCTGATGAGCAACTTACATTGATTAAAAAATAAAAACCTAAGACAGAACAACTGCCCTGGGGTCTTAGGTACTGTGTACTACCACAATACATTCACTATGTTGCTTTCAAAGTGCCTGGAGTTCACATGTGTTTTAGTTTCCATTTTCTTTTAGGCATTTAATTACTGCTTAAATTTCTAGTGCATTTAAAAAAAACAAAAGATGTTTTAATCTCGGAAGTTTTGTTTCCCATCTGTAATTCATTGTAGTTTAAGCACCCTTGGGACTATAGGAATTGCTTGTTAACAACAAGAAATTATTGTCTACACTTAGTGTTAATTGTGGAACTATTGGTCTGAATTAACAGGAAAACAGTACTTGTGCTAATTCAGAAACAGTTTAGAGAAAGAAATCTGAAGAGGTAAAACACAGTCACTGTTGGGTTTGGTTTTTTTCGTGTGTGTGGATGTGAGATTGGATGAATGAATGAATTCCTACCAGTCACATACCCAATGCAGATTACTGTTGTCTGTCCACCAGCACAGAAAAGTATTCAGAAAACATCCAGTGTTCAGAGAAAGCAGTAAAGTTTGCAAACTAGTCCTATGCAAACCTTCATTGTTAAGTCATAAAGAAGCATACTTCATTAAAAACAAATATTTTAATTGCTTGGAAGTAACAGTATTTATGGCAAGCAGGCAGAGATTGCCATGGCTCTATTTAAAAGTATTCACAGCTATTGAATGCATCAGGAAAACAATTCTCACACATATCTGATGAAAGACTAATAGAAGTATTTATCCACATATTGCCTAAAATACGAAAGTTATTTTGTTCTTGTGAGAGAATTTCTTGTTGCTGACCTTTGAATCAGTGATGTAGATTCAACTGAGATAGATTAGATGCCAGAATCTAGTTAATCTGTGGGTACATTTTTTACAGTTGTCAAATTATGTGTAATTTTGGGATATTTGAATGTGTTCAACTCTGACAACTGTGGTTGTTTTGTTCTCTTATTGTGTTTGGCCAGCTTTTCTGAAATGCGAATTTAGAGCATTGCAAAAAAATGAATTTTAACCAATTGTTTTTCTATGCAAGTTACTCTGTGTTCTCTTTTCTGGAAATTTTCCAGTTTCTAAAATATTGTTACTGTATTTGTGTAAGCTACTCCTAGAAGTAATGTGTTCTGCTTATGTAATTAAATTCTTGTTTTGAACAGCATCTTTTGTCCTCAAGAAAATACAGAAGAAGCCTTACTGTTGCTGCTTATTAGTGAATCTATGGTAGGTAAAATAGAGTGAATCCAAGTGTGCTATATGTGTGTATGCTTTCCTTGTGTATTTTTTTTTAAACAAAAATAGGACTTTTTTGTCATGCCTTACTTTGACTTGTGTTTCATTTTCTGTTATGAAAGCAGGCAGTTACTTCTGAAACTCAAGCTTCTGTTCCTCTGAGCCAGCAAGATGAGGTTTGCAAAAGTTATGAATAGCAGCTTTTCTCCTTTAGAGTGGTTGAACTTAGCTGCCTCCTAACCATAGGCAGGTGAACAGAAAGCTAGGTCTTTCGTTTGGCATCATTTAGCAGTATGAACCACTGTTACACAAGCTGGTTGCCATTCAGACTGACTCAGTGTAAGTTATTTTTGTTGTAAAAACCAAGACAAAGACCACTAGATAAGCATAATAAACGTAGCCAAAAGGTATTTTCTGTTGTGCATTAAACCTCAGATGTCACTCAAATTTGTATATGATTTTTTAATGATAGTGACATTCAACCTTTGCTACTGGATTATTATTTTTTAATGTCTTATTTCCTTGATAGGGGAATCCTTTCAATGGCCTACTTCTGCCTTTTATCAGCCTTTCATATTTTCCTATAGTATGATTTTACTAGTCATTTATCATCTACCAAATACTGACATTCTCATACCAGGTCAGTTGTACATCCTCAGATGGCAGAAATGAAAAGCTGAAGCTGTTTTTCTAACTGGCGGGGTGGAACCTCTAGAATCTGAGACATTGTGTAGTAGTCTGTCTGACTGCACATCAATGAGACTTAGTCATTTAAATTCCATAGGTGATTTGAATGCTTTCAGTGCTCTGGCATAACTTCTGTTTTGATACAGTTAAATAGGATCAGAACATTTTAGAGAACATTGTTCTAGTTGAACTATTTTAAAGTGGCAAACATTTACAATGTAGTGTGAAATACTTTGCTCATTCCTGGTGATCTGCCTTCCAATGTTCATGACTGAATCTGTCACCAGAAAACTAAACTGAGCAAACATTTACTTATATCTTGTGTTGCTTTTGCTGCAGTATGTACTTAGCACTGAAAGGGGCTGCTTCTGCCTCTGTAAGGTGCCTGAGCAGCCTGTGGAGATATATAGAATTCTGATGTGAACTTTGGTCATAGTGTGAAGTGGAAGGATCTGACTACTGATTGCTGTATTTGCATGTGTACTTCCTTGCATATCAGCATTAAGAAGCCAGGAAACAAATTAAAATACTACCCTGTTAAGTCTTGTTTCGTGTTACTTACAGCTTTTCCTTTGTGAATTACATCTGCCTAATTATATCAAATGCTTGTTACTGTAGAGCATATACCCTTAGCAAGCTTTCAATATTTATTTCTTTCTGCTGCTGCAGTGTATTGTCATGCCTAATGAGGAAAGTCAGCTGCAACTCCGCCATCACTCTTACTGTAAGACGTCCTTGTATTCTAGCTGTTACTCTTGCGAACTATAAATTAGCCTTGCCTTATCTAGTCAGGAATGAATAGAAAGGTGGGATCTGAAGGACTGACATCTTAATGTTACAGCGTGTGTGCATGTTGCTGCTTGTCAGCTGAGCTGTAGTAACAGAATCAAAGAACGATTGAGGTTGGAAGGGACTTCTGGAGGTCATTTTGTCCAACCTCCCTGCTCAAACAGGGCCACCTGGAGCAGGCTGCGTCTGTGTCCAGACGCCTTTTGAATATCTGCAAGGATGGAGACTCCACCACCTCCCTCGGCAACCTGTGCCTGTGCTCAGTCACCTCACAGTAAAAAAAAAACAAAACAAAAAACCTCCCATATTTCAGTCTGTGTCCACTGCCTCTCGTCCTGTCACTGGGCACCACTGGAAAGAGCAAGAGCCTGGCTCCATCTTCTTTGTACCCTCCCTTCAGGTATTTGTACACATCGATAAGGTTCCTCCCTGAGCATTCTCTTTTCCAGACTGAAGAGTCCCAGCTCTCTCAGCCTTTCCTCATAGAAGAGATACTCCAGTCACTTACTTATCCTAGTGGTTGGTTGTTGGACTGTCTCCAGTAGCTCCATATCTCTCTTGTACTGGGGAGCCAGAATTGGACCCAGTACTGCAGGTGTGGGCTCACCTGCTGAGTAGAGGGGAAGGATTACCTCAGCCTGCTGGCAACATTGTTGCTGATGCAGCCCAGGATGCCAGTAGCCTTCTTTCCAGCAAGGGCACATTGCTGACTCCTGTTCAGCTTGGTGTTCAACTTGGTGTCCACCAGGATCCCCAGGTCCTTTTCTGCCAAGCTGCTTTTGAACTGGGTGACCCTCAGCATGTACTAGTGCCTGCAGTTATTCCTTGCCAGGCACAGGACTTTGCGCTTCCAAGTCTGGGAAGCCTTTGAGGTCCCTGTCAGCTCATTCGTCCAGCCTGTTGAGGTCCTTCTGGATGGCAGCACAGCCCTTTGGCACATCAGTTCTTCCTCCTAGTTCTGTATCATCAGCAGACTTGCTGAGGGTACACTCTGCCCCATCATTCAGGTTATTAATGAAGATTTTGAACAGGATCAGGCCCAGTATCAATTTCTGGGGTACACCACTAGTTACTGGCCTCCAACTACACTTCCTTTCACTGATCACAACCTCCTGGGCTCAGCCTTGTGTGTTATTCTTAGCTGATGGTAAAATGGCTGATCATATCCTTTCTTCCACTGAGAGTGAACTAAGTTATAGTGCTTGCATTTGCCTCAGATTTAAAGTGTGCGTAGGGTAAGTGTGGCCAGCTGACACATTATAGTTTAATTGTCGCTTTATTGTGTATGAGACCGTGGTGGTTCTGAAACACTGAGTACTTAATTTGTACATGCATTCTGTTTTATAGTTATGCAGAAAATGATTGTTCAAATATATAACATATCTTTAATCCTTATAAGACACCCTCTCCTATAATACTGCTTTGGCATCGTCAGCCATTTTTTTTACAAGAAGTGCTAGTTCATAGATTGTTCTGTATGTGCAAGGAATTGAGTCAAATAGTGATTAAACGTGGAGTTAAAAAGGAAGAAGTTATTGAAGCTGACTAAATATTTATGCAGTGTAGAAAGGAAAAGCCAAAAACTTCTTGATCAAAAGAAAACAAAATGTCTGTTTTGGGGTGCGTGTGCGGGGGTGTGTTTTTTCAAATAAAGCTGTGGATTATCCGACTGATAATTCCTGAAATGTCTGTGCATTTTACGCTCCATGAATCTCTTTGAAAATTTCTTTCAATATTTAATTATTCTGATTTTAAAGATGTGTTGAGTATGTTCAGAGCTTAAAATATTACCCTGTTAAAACAGAGAAATAATTTATTTTCCCTTAATATGTGTCATTCTTTGCCTCTGAAAAAGGGGGAAATAAACTACACATTAAAACTTAGTGTATTTAAGTAAATGTATTAAGGGGGCCATGCCCTATGTAATTAGGGAAAAAAAAAAAAGGGGGGGGGCTAGGAGGAGAGAGAAGGATCTTTAACTTCTGACTTCAAACTACCAGATATACTATCATTTGTACCAATGGGAATATTAAACATCAAGAAATCTGGAAATAGATAAGATATCAAGATAAGGTGTTTTCAGAGGCTTGATGGTGTAGTGGAAGCAGTACTGACTGGTTCAATATAGGTAGTCTTAGCTACTGGAGACCTGAATTTTATCCTTTGCTCTATAACACGGTTTCTCTATGAACATGGTAAATTCATTTAATCCAGTTCTAGCTCATCTTTGTTCCTTCTCAAGAGGAAAAGTTTAATTAAGCAATTAGGTTTGGAACGTGCTTTTCACAAAACAGGATTGAAAGTACAAAGCCTTACTGCAAACATGGCCTGATTCCAAACCTGTGCTCAGAGTCAGGGACAGTTTTCACTTCTCACTAGTAACTCCTGAAGGTGATCGTGTGGTTATCCTGGGCACGTTACCACTCACAAGTGAGAGGATAGTGTCATAGTGTCATGAAGGGAAAAGAAATTGATTGCCTTATTTTACAAAAGCTGGAATACAGGATTTGAAGATCCTTCTAATGTGTTTTACTACTATACAAAAAATAAAATTAAATTTTAAAAGATGAATATACATGATATTTAAAAAACCAAAACACCTTGGTTTCTGAGAACTCTTCAATAATTTTAAATACGTTACCTAATTTATGTAACTAGAATCCAGTAATTAAAAATAGATCCATATAGAAGCGTAAATCTTGCCACTAGTGTATGAAATTGGTAATTTTTGCTATTTATAAATTAATAGCAATACTGTCTCTCTGTATCACCTATATCAACTGCTGACTCTCAGTCTGAATAGAACGGTAGTTACCTGCGCAAAAATACAGGTTGGATTACAATGAGTGACTGTTTCTTTGTTTTTTTTGGTGTGGTATGTTTCAGGCTAACCGTGATGCTGTACTGAGCAGAATACCGGAACACAAAAATGATCGTATCATCAGTTTGCAAAGTGCATCTGTAGTCTATGATTTACTTACTATAGCCTTGGGAAGAAGAGGCCAATATGAAATGCTTTCAGAGGTTTGTTGATAGTAGTGAATATTCAACTCTGTCTTCATTGTTTATTTCTGTTAATCATGTTAATTGTGGTAGTACTTAAGGACTAAACAAATATAAGACACTGTCATTCTGACTAGTGTATAAAAACAGTAGGTATTTTCCACTTCAAAAAGTTTACTGTCTAAATATTTATAAAAGTGACTTGAGGTGGTCAAGCACAGAAATTCTATGAAAGCTGTGTTAAATGTTTAATGGAATGGAAATTCGCATGGTTTTTAGGCGAGGGGGAATGGATCTGCTTAAAAGGATACACATTAAATGGATACAGCAGGAAGGAATGACAAAAGATAAAAGCTGTTGTGGATATAAATGATAGATATAAATACCTAGAAGAAGAATTTTTGATATTTTATTTCAAGAGAACTTTTTTACACCTCATAGTATTTGGAGTGCTCCAAAGTCCTCATAGTTTGTAAAATTACTTTGAAGTTAATAAAATGGAAATATATTACTTTTTCAGGTCTGTAGGAAAGTACGTTCTCTATCTCAAATGTCTTGTGTTTGATTATGCAACTTGCATGTGTTTTCTTAGATTGTGGCGACTTACTTCTGCAGGAAATTTTCAAGTATCATTAACAGCTTTATACCTGAGAAACAACTCCAGCTCTCTGGGCAGAGCAGATCTTTCTGCTGCTCATAACAGTGCTCACCCAGCAGCAGGATACTGTTGGTGACCATGATTAATTATTGATGTCCAGAAGGAATACTTAAGCATGTGTGATAGGAAGGCATATCCAGGGATTGATTTGCTGAGAAATAGTTTCTCTCTACCGTAACAGAGGACTTTTATTGAGCTAAAAATGAAAAAAAAGAAGTCCCAGTTCTTCTCTGGTATTTGTTAATAGTCACCATTTAATCTACATCTCCTGTGATGTTAAGCTCTGAATTTGGGTATTCCTCTTGAAAGTACTTCACAGCTGCTAGTTGTCCATACAAGTCAGTTTTAATCAGTACAGTAGAAGGTCTTTCACAAAACTAATGGGTATGAAAGCTCATACAGGACTGTCAACCTACAATATAATCTAATTGAGGATATTTCCATTTACTTGCCACCACAGACACTATCACCTTAATGGAATTTTAGGCAGTTGCACCAAAGCTGCAGGAGATGACTCTCCATATATTTTAGCCTAGAACTTTTTAAAGGATAGACATTGACAAGTATTGTAAAAGCCAAACCCAAACAAAAAACTTGAAAAGGTAACTCTGATTTCTTTTTTCTTTAAGCAACTGGCAACTTTTCCTTTTTATAGACTAGCCTAGCAACTAGGCAGGGGTAGTGTATCCCTGGGTTCCAGTTCCATTTCTTTTATTTTGAGTGTGGTGTCGTGGTAGGTTTTTTTTGTTGTTGTTGTGGGTTCTTTGTCCCTTTTTTTTTTTTCTAAACCACCATTATATCAATGGGAATGTCACAGGTTCCTTGGATTCCTCCACTGTCTCCTTTGGGACATTTTGGGTAGTATTTATGTCACAATAGGTGCAACTTCTTGTTTGCAATTCTTCTTGCCTTTCTTGATAGAGAAGTGTTTTTGCTTCATGAGGAAAGCTAGAGATATCTCTGTTCTTAGCCATGTATCTTGAAGTCTAGGACATTACCCTGAAGGGTAGGAGGAAAGTCTTATAGTCCCCTCACGTGGAGAAGAGTGTTAGAGCTTGCTTCCCTCACTGCTTGTGTGATTGGTTTAGCTCCTGTAGCTGACAGATGAATACCACTGCCTGTTCCTTTTCCTTCTATATTTTGAGCATAGTTGAATGTTCTAATTAATAGAAGGCATTTTAACTTGACTAGACCTTAGGCCTTTTAGAAGTTGCTCGTGCTGGTGGTGATCTTGGTTACAGACAAAAGCAGCATCATGAGTGTCTGGAAAGTTAAAGAGCCTCCATGTTTGACCAGCTTCTTAGTTGAGCGTTTTTAGCCACTGCCTTGGGCTTTGACACCTGAAGTCTACCTAGGGCTTGTTTTAAGGTCTTTTCTTGTTCTTTTTTAAATCTGGGTCTAGCATCTTTGTAGTTATATTCCATCAAAATTGTATATATATTGTTTTGAAATGTTCTCTTTGAAAAATAGTTCTTATATGTTTGAAAAATACTTTTCGATCCAGAATAAATAAAATGGATTTATTATATGTCCATGAAGTATCTATTCTGAACATGAAAAAAATCATCTTATGAAGACCTGGTATAATAGACAATACTTATTTTAGTATACAGATACTCTAGATATACAACTGCAGCAGGAGCTTATCAGGAAATGGTTAGAACATCCCATTTGTTCCAGTTCTTGTCGTCCAAAGCACAGCAAAAAACATCGATTTTAAGAAGCTCTTACAGTTTAGTGAGTGGTTAGAGGATATATGCTCTCAAATCCTGTGACCCATAGTCTGATACTTTTATAATTTAAAGTATTACAATAAACATAAATTCAGAAATGTAAAAACATTCTGTTCTGTTATGTAATACGTATAATTCTTTGCTGGCTTCATTCTCTGTGAGCTAATTATGATTGCTGTAGTGGAGCTGTTGTAGCTTCAAGTCAGCACGATTATTCCAACTGTGGAAATGGTATTTGCCCACCAGTTCCAGTATCTTGTTATCATCTTCTGGTTTAGCTATAGCTGATTACTTACAGGCGTAGTTAGGTGTGATATAAGAACATTAAATGATCAAAAGTCTGTCTCATCCTTGTTAAACTGTTCTACTGCTGAATCATGTTCTTAATTGAAAAGGTCTCATTTCTTTATGGAGTTTGTATACAACGGGCTTTCAGTTTCTTATGGCTTCTTCAACTAGATCAAAGAACTTCCTACTGCCATAATTCTTTCCTAAGCAAAAGTACTCTGACTGTCATCAAGTTGGTTTTTTTAAGCTTTGTATGATATGACATATTGAACTTATCGATGTCCTACTAGGAGAGATGTTTTCCAGACTAGAAATTTTCCTAGATACTCATCTTTCAGTTCTCTAACTTCAAACCTGTTCTTTTCAGGAGGAGACCATAGTGCTAAGCAACACAATTCAGTAATACGTTCAACATGACATGTCATTACATGTCCATATAGTGATTTTTATACAAGGCAATATCAACAGTGCATTTCTGCCTTTCAGGCGAGGGATTGTGCTGAATGTGTTTTCAATTAGTTAAGTCAGTCGCTGTTATCCTGAGTATTATCTTAACTTGCAGTTTTCCAGGGTACTATTGCTTGTTATGTATTTCTCATTGGTTTATTGGTGGAACCTGTTGCTCTTTGAAATTACTTGTTACTTGGTTCAGAAGAACCCAGTTTATGAGGTGTTCATGTTGTTGCGTAGGTCACATACACATATATGCATGTATATCCCTTACCCCCACGCAGGCTAACCACCAATTTTGTGATCTTATGAAGAAAAAAAGTCATGTCACATTTCATACTGAATGAAGCCAAGTAAATAGAACTTGAAGTCAAGGAAAAAGAATGGTAAATAGATCGTAAATAGTATATTGAAACTCAGGCCTTTTAGAAAAACCTACAATTGTGTCCTGTGTCCTTGTAATTACAAACTTAGAAAAACCTGAAGTATCAATCTCCAACTTCTTTATTTTCTGCCAGTTAATTAAAAATTGTCAATTCTAAGCAAGGCCTAGAAAATAAGATTTTTATTTTTCTAATTGTGAACAAGTAGTACCTCTATATAATAAATGCACATGTATATGTATATGAATATCTAAAAATGGGAGAAGAAAGTGTGATTAGGCAACCTAAAAAGTTGTAAACATATTTTGACTTTAAGCATTATACTTCTATCTACACAAGTTTGTGTGAATCTCTGGGGTTATACAGCTGCTGTAGGTCAGAGTTCTGGAAGAAGTGCTGAAATTACTTAAATCATGTATCAAAACAGGTAGAGTGAGTTGTATTTGAAAGTGTATTTGAAAAGGTAAGCCTAAATTCATTCTCCTTCATCTAGAGGCACTCAGTTTAGCACCATAGTTGTACTAATTGGTGGAAAAAGAGGGGGATTTAGCAACTTCTGTTTTCTGCCAAGTTCATGGAGGGAGGTGGATGAGTGTGCTTTGCCTGGACATCTCTACAAAGTATCCAAAGTAATAGGAGAAGACAGCACACACAACTTATTTGTTTCTTGCTGTGATCTTTTTGCTCCCACTGGTAGAAAGTAAGTCCAATGGGAAAATAAAACCTGTGTTGGTTTTCTTAATAGACATTTAATTAACTTACTACATGTACAATCTGATGATGAACTTTTAAGAACAGTATTAGAAAGAATTTTATTTTAGAAACTTCATTCCTTTGTAACCATTTAATAAAAATTCTATTTAGTAATAGTCTTGATACTGGACATTATGTAGTGGGAAAAATTCTAGCATATGTTACTTATAAGTAGCAAATAATGCATTTCTGGTATTTGTTTTGTTTCCCCCTCAGTGCTGTTCTTTGCTTCAGGTTCTGTTAAAGTATGGGAACGTGCAACACACCTGGCTGTGCTTTCTGTAATGTTAAGACTGAGTTTGAATGTGAAAAATAATTCATGATACTACATATACATTGTACCTATCAGAGCAGAAAAGCTGCTTTATGTAATTGGACTCTGCAGACTAGAAAGTTAATTGCTAAATCAGTTTAATCCAGAAAAGTGTTGCACCTTTTGACTCTCTGGAGCTGGCCTGATTATTAAAATGAGCACAGCAAAATGAAAGAATTCTTATTGACAAAAGCAGATATGAAACCTTCAAAATTAGCATGTAATGCTAATTTAGTATATTTAATCTCAGTATAGTAATAATGAATTTCCTTTTGGCATTCAGTTAAGTTGAAAATTTCAACAGAATATTGAACATAAAGTTAAAATTCTTAAAAACAGAAATAATACTGTCAGGTGAACCTTTACACGCCCACCTCTTTCCCCCTCCATGGTACTGATAAGCACTTGTGGTGCCATTGCTTGCTAAGTATTCACAATTTAGGAAGAGATTGTGTACAGTTTTTTCCTTTTCGCTTAAGACTTATCTCCAGCCTTTTGCAGCTGGTACCTTCAGTGAGCTGGTATTTATCATTCCTTCTTTCAGACAAAATAGGACAGTACCAACAGGAGTGTTTAAACAAATGTAATAAATGAGATACTAGTTTTCTGTTCAATTCATTTTTTCTGTATAGAATGTGGCAGATGTTTTCACTTATTTGAATTATTTAAATATTTAATTACATTATTTTAGGTATGAGTCTATAAGAAAATTTTAATACTAGTATATCATCTTAAAAATTGAAGAATATGTCCTTAATTTACAATTTTCCACCCAAAATTAGTGTTTAGAAAGAGCTATGAAGTTTGCATTTGAAGAGTTCCATCTCTGGTATCAATTTGCATTGTCCTTGATGGCAGCAGGAAAAGTAAGTCCTAATTTTTTTTATGTAATTCTTCTATTGATGACTTTTCATAGTGACATTTGGCACTTCCATAATTTTCATCTGTAGTGTTTTTGAAAATAATTCTAATCCTTAAATCAGATAAGTACACTGTACTCCTGAATTTATGCCTAGTGCTGTACAAAGAATGTTATTTCAGTAGTTGCTAACTTAGCCTCACCTTTCAGTCTTGCTAAGAACTGTCTTGCCAACAACCTTAAGCTAAGCTAATTGAATGTAAGTAGTGATTTATATCAGATCATACTATCCAGTAACAACTTGTTTAAGTGCTGTTTTGATGAACAAATTTTACGCTTATGTATAAATGAATGCTGATTCATGATGCTCTTGCTTTTTTTTTTCCTTAGGGAATTTCTAACTGTGTCTTTTTTTAATATTACTGTCTTCAAGACTGTGTATTCTGTGCAATTAAAGTGAGAGGGTTTTTTTTCTAATTTTATGTAACCTAGGAGCGTATGTTATCAGATGCAATCTTCTATCTTCAAGTTTTTTTCTTTTCCCTCCTATGTTATGGAAAATAAATCACATTCATTATGTATTGCAAATAATACTGATTTTCTAAAAGATCATTCTCAATGGGGGTAATTTACTTATCTTCAGTAGGGGGGAAAGGAATGATTTGTATTTTCTTCAGAGCCTATCTGCTTCTAAAAATGTTTTCTAAAGAGGCTTGATTCTTTTTTCCCATTCTCTGTTTATCTTCTGAACTGTGGTTGGATGGAGGCAAATGAATTAAAAAAAAAAAAGAGCAGTGCCAGTCTGTTCTACAATCTTATATCAGAGCTATTCCCAAGTGCTGTTGTAACTTCTAAAGAACACCAAAACACTGCTTGTTCTGAAGACTCTGTCCTGTGCCTGCTCTTTCATTTGCCTGGCTCAAATGTTGTGAACTTACAGGCCTAGCAAAGTTTTAAATGCATCTCAAAACTGTTTTCTGAATCATATACCATTGAAATTACATTCTGGGCAAATGTTTCACTGGGGGCATTTAATGATAGTTTGTAGGGGTTAAATAACAACAGCAGTGACTAAAGTCTTACATTTCATTTGCATGAGGAGTTGTGACAAATTGTCAACAAAAAATTTAGTAATCTTTCCTTCACGTGGGAAAAATAAAGTAAATGATGGAAATGGGAATCTTCTGTCTGTGAAACACTTCTGCTTTTAGTAATTTCAATGGGAAATATTTTTAACAGTCTGCTCGAGCTGTTAAAGTCTTGAAGGAATGTATACGTTTGAAACCAGATGATGCAACTATTCCCCTCCTTGCTGCAAAGCTCTGTATGGGATCTCTCCACTGGGTAAGCTTTGCTGCTCTTAAAAAAAAAGCTGTGCTAAAATGCAACAAAAATCTTGGTTTAAGGATGTAGCAAATACTTTTGCACAGTGACTACACGCACTTGGTCATCTCTAAAAATACAGCACAGATATGCACATGTACATCTCTGTTTACATGGCTAATTTAAAATATTTAACAGCAATTGTTATGTTTATCAAGGTATCATACCTTGATACTGATCTAAGACATAACTACAAATGTATTAGAAATCAAAACATTGTTGACATACAGAGATTAAAAATGCAACTTGGATTTCTGTTTCCTCTGTGAAAGAGGATGGTAACTTTTTTTGGAAGATAATGAGACAAATCTCTTATATTCAAGAGACTATTCTGGTGATACCGTATTTGCAGGCAGCTGGGGTTTATGAATTCCTAGTAGGGACAGTGTCTTTTTAAAAAGTGTTACTTGAGTTATAATTTAGGTAACGTTGAAATTGGTGTGTGTGTACAAAAGACATTAAGGTGATCGAAGATCATGATGTAGTTTTCAAGATACATGTGTAATTTTTAAAGGAATGAATATATTTTTTAAAAAAGGAGGCAAAGAGGAGGGAAAGGTCAGAATGAGAAATAAAGTAGTACAGTAGCAGAAACGTGACTTATTGAGGCTGATAAAAATACAGTCTTAATAATTAATGTAGATCTTAGTTCTGTAAATTGTTCCCTATGGATTGACTCCATATGGAGTAGCTTACTGTACTTAGCATTTACATTTGCTGGAATGGATTCAATCTTTTTTTTTCTCCTTTCTAGATTGTTAAATAGTGTGCTAGCATGAGTGTGCAGTTTAACCTTGATCTTTTACATATTTGTTTATGATTTTGCATACATTCAGCAATACTGTATGTTCTGCATGGCTCTACTTTTTTTTTTTGGCAAAGTTGGAGCCATAGTTCTTGTAATTGATTTTCCTAAAGAAATGGTTCATAGTGCAAGAACTCTATTTATGAAATGCAAAAATTATAGATGGCATATATGGATCAGAAATGCCTTTTTTTATTTAAAAAAAAAAAACAAACCAGCAAAACTGCAGTAAGTTTAGAATGATCTGTGTGTTATGTGCTAGAGTTCCTCTCAATCATAGGAGTGGGTACTTCAGCTTAAAATCTGTGTTCTTTTCTCAATATTTAGCAGGAAAACTGAGTCTAATGAAAACGAAATAGTCCATTAAAACAATCATGACTGAGATTTCATCAGACTCAGTGTGCATAATACACATGGTGTGCGTTTTTAAATGTAAGTCTTAGCTAGTTTTAGACTTACATGGATGTTTTATAATATTTTCAGTTGGAAGAAGCTGAAAGATTTGCCAAAACAGTTGTTGATCTTGGCGACAAAACATCAGAGTTCAAAGCAAAAGGCTACTTGGCACTGGGATTGACTTACAGTCTGCAGGCTACTGATGGTAAGATAAGAATAAACATTCTCATTTGGAAATTCCCATGTTGCTTAAAAAAGGATACCTAGCAGAATGCTAGACTTAAAGCTGCTGCGCAACCATTTTTTCTGTCAATGTATTAAAACTTCTTGAATAAGCACGCGGAATGAAATCTCTTGATCTTGCATGTCACTGATTAAATATATCCTTTTTAGCATCTTTGCGAGGGATGCAAGAGGTCTTGCAGAGAAAGGCTCTTCTTGCGTTTCAGAGGTGAGTGGGTGTTAATATTTTCATTTCATTCTGCTACATGTAGTGAAAAGCTTTTATTATGTGTTAAAAGGAGGGACTTCTGAAAGATTGTGTAATGAGGATTTCACCTCTGGGAGTCTCCCTTCATGAATGCAGAATGTATTTCTTTAGCATTTACTTCATCATTTTCTGTCAGAAATACCTGAATTGATTTCTAAGGATTTCCTTTTATTTAATTTTGAAGACATTTGTGTTGCTCTCTTGTATAAAATATTTGTTCAAAGGAGTATTCTGTTCTGATCTAGAAGGGAAAATCATGTGATGCAAGGTTTCAAGTCATGGTTCAATGTGATAGTGTTTCTGGAAGGGTTGGTAGCGGATCAGATTGTATAGCAGGCTTCTGCAATTATCTCTGTAGAGGCAGAGCAATAATTGAGGCCCTGCTGCTTTGGATGAGGGGCGAAATGCAGGTAGTAAGGTAGTAAACTTAGGGGGAAAGAAAAAATTCTACCTGCAGATTTAACAGCACAGGCAGTGACAACGCAAATGCCCCATCTTCCAAGTGCCTTACACAGAAATAATGCTGTTGCAGATGACGGTAGTTCATTGTCAAGGATTTGACTCGGCAAACAAAATGCCAATAAACAGGTGAATGAGGATATCTCTACCCTAATTACAGAAGAAACAAACCTTGATGGCAAAGCTGGCAGAAGTGCTGCAGCATCTAAATATGTTTATATACCCTTGAAAACCCTGCTTTGGTGGGATAGGCCTAAATGCTTCTGGGAAGCTGATTTATGCATTAATGTGAATACAAAGTCTAGGATTTTTGTTGGTGACTGTGTCTGAGGGGACAGGGTTGAAAGTGTTTTGCAGGTAACGTTAGAGTGAGGCTGGTATGTATTGGTTCTTCCTTTTTGTATCTTACCTTAACTATTCCTTTGTATGTAAATATGTTTTAATATATCTCTGCTTTTCCTGTTCCTTAATGGTTTTAATAGTGTTTTTTTATTACTGCAGCATTCCTTCTCCATGTTGAAACTGAATTTTCTAACTCCTGATTTGTACCTCAGTTCCTCACTCATCCCTCTTACCGCTGACTTAATCACTGTTTCAAAAATACTGTGCTAACTGTTTCTCACCATTTCTACCCATTCACTACTTTGAGATTCTAATGGTGAATTGCTTGCTTCTGCTGATTCTTTGAAACAGCAAGGGGTGAAATGAACCATAACCTGAAGCTAATCCATTCCAGTTCAGCGCCTGCTGACTCTACCTTCCAGTTTCGTATAATGATTCCCAAAATTCATAGAGCTGTTCCCTGCTATCAGTCTGTCTGGAAAATTTCTGTTTTCTGAGGGTTGAGGTTGTGCAGTGTTTTAACCACCCATAAATATGAGGGTGCTTTTGTAGGTAGCATACTGCTTATTGTGGTGATATTCTATTAGGTTGCTCTAGAAAAAGAAGAAATTATTTGAGTTAAAAGAGAATAAACAATACACAGTACGTTAGGAGAGCTATTTTTCAAACGATATTCAGCTTCCTATCACTGCAAAACTGCTCTTTCACACACTATTCAAATATTGTTGTTTGGTTGTGTGTTATATCATCTTTCACTCAGGAACTTTTCTATTTTATTCTCTACAGCTGAACGATAAGTCTCTTGATACCTTCTTAACTGTTCAGTTTCAAAGACTTCCTAGCAGCCTTCTGAAAAGATATCTAGCATCTCTTCAGTGAACCGTTACAGATGTCCTTTAGCTGTATAGTGGAGCTATATAGTACTGAGTGGAACTTCAATTTTGTAGTGATATGGAGATTTGAAATATTTGTGCTAACTAGCAGAATATAACTTTATGCACAGAAGGTCTTGGATACATGAGGATTAATTGCGTTTGCTTTCTAAGCATCTTTCTAATGCTTTGGGGTTTTTTTTTTTATTTTTTTTTTTCCAGTTGATACAACCTCCTAGAAACAATGTTTTGTATTTTTAAGTACATGTTCCAGGGTATTGATGGTAAGCTACATATTCATCTTTTCTGCTGGCCTTTCTCAGAATGAACTTGTACATAGGCTTTTAATTAAAGTATCTTTTGGGGGGGTTAGTAAATGTGCAGCGTATATGCTTTGAAAACTCTAGTAACTTGCTAATATTGCTGTTAGTGACATTGCTGATGTAAGTAGCTTGGACTCTACACAGAATCTTGAGTAGAATAGTTTGGCCCTCAAAAAGAACAGAGTTTCTGCATCTCAAAAATCCCATAGCTGCCTTCTTAGAGAAGGGAAAAAGTGTGTTTTGAAAGATGATTGTTCTGCATATTAACATGTTTCCCCACTTGTGTTCATAGACACTCACACCTGATAGACCAGCTATACTGGAAATACACTTCAATGTGGTTGATAATGTTGCTGGTTCTTTATGTTAGTAACATAGGTATAGGATGGTACCAAAACTTTTTTTACCACAGAGAGTATGTTATGCTCAGCATGCAAGAGTCATGCTCACTTTCTCTTCCTACATCTTAAAAATAAATGTTTTCCAGGAGGTGGAAGTTGAAATTCTCCATTATCTCCTACACAGTTTATAAAACGAGCAGCTGTACTGGACTCAGTATTTTGATGTGTCAAGTTTGTTTTGGTTTGGTTTTTCGTGACTTTTTTAATTGCTTACCTAGAGGACCAATTCCTGAAGAAATACAGGTCCTGAAGAAATACAGTTACATTTTGGACCCTTGCCTATGCCATATTTCAAGGCTACCAGTTTGTGATAGTGGCCATTTGAGAAGGTGCTTGTTGCTGTCTTCGCACAGTGCTGAAGGGGTGTTTGTTTCAGTAACTTTTTTTTTTGTATTTTGGAAGACTTTCAGTACTTTTCCTGTGGTTGGTGTGAATTGAAGTTTCACGGAAGTCATGAAATGGTTGATAGATAGTAACAGCTTTATTCTTTCACTAACTGAAGCTTGGGTGACTGAACAAATAATCTCTAAGTTAAAATCTCTTGTTCTCACTTAGTCTTACTTAATTTGTGAACTTAAATTTTAAAAAGAACTGGTCCTAGAACCTGTTAGGCTTTATATTTGACTATAAGCTCCAATTTAGAGGTAAAGTTAACAAAATATGAAACTGTCCCCTAATAACTGTCCCCTAACTGCTTTGATATGTGTTGGGTGTAGTTACTAAATTAATGGAGCTGTCTCTTTGGGCTTGGAAAGACAGAAATGCAGGAGTCAGAAGCAGAAGGTTCCCTTTTTGGTTGTAATGACTTAAAGGTCAATTTTGTTTGTCCCTCCTGATGGAGACAACTGATTAGATGTTCTGAAGATGATTATTACATATCCTATTTATAAAATTTTTTTTTGTCTTTATGCTCAAGCATCCCACCCAAAAAGAACCCTTATCTTGCAGCAGAAGATTGTATGACAGGGGAAAATAGTAGAGTGTATTACACTAACATCTTCTGTAGGATAAATGTCAAAATGAATAAGACAAAGTGTGTGTGTTTGACCAAGACATTAAAAACAAACAAAATTTCAAAAAAAAGATGAAAAAAAGTTATTTCTTTGTTTTGGTAATTTGGGTTACTTGAAACAGCAGTAGTTACAAATGTTTTGAGAGTGAATAATCACAAAACACTGATGCTATTGGGTAGCTCAACATTTTTTGTGGACAGAAATTATATTTCTAAAAAGATCATCAGCATAAACTTCTTCATCTGAACTTCAAACATAGGTTCATGATGAGTCAGATCTTATGTTGCCTTTTACTATAATGCTATGATAAAGAAGCTGTTCAGCCTAGATTTCTTTTACATTGCTACATAACAAGATGCTCTGCTAACTTAATCTCAGAGCAACTCAAAGCCCAGAAGTAACTGGCTTCCCGGGAGGCTTAGTATGCTGGACTGAAAATGTGCTTAAATTTGGAGAGTCTGCAGGATGAACAAAACTCTGATCTACTTTGTTGCTACTCTTCCTCTTTGAGTTCTGTGCTTCAGAACCATTCTGGTCAAGGTTGGTGTGATTGCTTGGATACTTCTTGTGCAGATGATATAATTCTTCTATTTGAAGGCATGTTGTTTTGGGGGATTTTTTTGTTTGGGTTTGGTTTTTTCCTTTTTCTGTAAGAAAACTGCTTGATGAATTTTTATTATAATTGTTCTTAGATAATTACTTCTAGTGTTCGTTTAGGAGTGTATTTTAATTGAAGAATCATTTTGTATTGCTAATTTTTAAGATTTATACTGAAATTACAGAATTAATTTCTATTAAAAATGACTCTTTAATGGCCCAAAGTGCTTCCTTTAAATCAAGGATGCTTGAGAAGATTGAGAGAAGTCACTGGAATGAACACTACTTATATCAAAATATGAGCATATGTGTGGTGAAGAGATCTGAATATGGATACATGAATATATATATGCATTTGTGTGTATGTCAGCCTGTATTAACAGGGGAAAAATTCACTGATTTTTTTTTTTTGTTTGTTTGTTTTGTTTCTTTGTTTTTAAGGGCTCATAGTTTGTCTCCAACGGACCACCTGGCAGCATTTTACTTGGCACTGCAGCTTGCCATATCCAGACAGGTTAGTTGTGTTTTAAAAGTGCAGCCTCACACTGTCATATGAAGATTAGAAGTTGTATCTGTTGGTGGATACTGATGAAGATTTCTTCAGTAAACACCTGATTTTTCCCTGTCCATATACGCATATGTATGGGAAAAAAACCCGAAAAAACTCTCTCTGAACGCCTTTAGTCTTGTACACTTCTCCAGAGTTCTGCTGCAGTATTTCCAGCTCTAGGATCAGGAATTAAGACGTAAGTCATTCAATGAATTTGTTTCAGCATTTATGTTGCTGGATGGAGAGGAAAAAAAAAAGTCAATTTTTACCCTTTTTTGTTATTATGTGTAATCTGTGCTCAGACTAGTTATCTGAACAGTGGGATTCTTGAATCTAGTCTTTAATGATCTTCACAGTGCTTAAATCTTGAGTATCTGCTAAGATCCATACCTTTTCTGAATACTTGTAGGAGATTTGGTTATTGTGAACAAAACTGCAAAAATGTGTGTAAGAAAACTGGAAAATCTTTTAAAGCTATAAAAGAGATCAGAGCTCAGTCCAACTTGTACAGCTGTTACATTTAAGGGATTTAGGATTCTACCATATATCACATGAGTTTGGATAATGTGGAACTGCTTTGTATGTGTCATGTTTGTTTTAGGAAGCTGTCTTGAGCACAGTAGTTTACATACTCTAGGTGACTACTTTTCCTTGCTAATGAGTAGCAGAGACATTGGACTATGTCACATTAGAGCGGAATGGATTGTCACTTCAATAGCGCAAAATATTTTTCAGTAGCAGGCTATAACTCTGTGCACCTGAATTCCAAACTTCTCGTGTTGCTTAATTAAATTTCCTGGTTTTAATACTTAGTGTACTTATTTTGAGCAAAAGCACATGGAGCTGAGGAGATGATGAAATTCCACATGAAGAAAAGTTACTGTTGCAGTCTAGCTGTACATTGTAGTTAATGTATTAAAATATTTTCAAAATCATACAGAAATGCAAACAATACTTGAAAAAGAATAGTAAGTGAATATTTTAAAGGGCTGAATGGAACTGTTTTATTAAAATGTGTATCTTATTTTCAAGGGTTGATATATTATTTGATTTTTACTGTTCACTGCAGAGCATCAGGTCCATTTTAAACTTCTGAGTAGTGTCTTACAGGAGTCTATAGAATTCTACATGGTATCCAGGTGAATATTTTGCAAATTTTATGGACATGCAATCAAGTAATAGGCAATATTTCTAATAGTGATGCTTTCTTTTTCTGCCTTTTTTTTTTTTGAATCAGATACCAGAAGCTTTGGGTTATGTTCGTCAGGCTCTGCAGCTACAAGGAGATGATGCCAACTCTCTTCATCTCCTTGCTCTCTTGCTATCAGCCCAGAAACACTATCATGATGCTTTGAATATCATTGATATGGCCTTGAGTGAATATCCAGAGAATTTTATGTGAGTGAATGTCATGTTTGCTTTCTATGCTTTCTCTCAAAATTACTTTTCTTAGATTCTTATCTCATTCATTTCAAGAGGGGATGGATTTGAAGATTGGTCTGGTTTGGTTTCTCTTTTTTCCAACAGTCTTCCCCCTTGCCCATTTAATAAAAAGCAGACTTGCATTAAAGGCTTGTTAAATAGTGATTAAGGATTTGGTTTTGAAAGGGAGGCTAGAGCTGGAGTTCATCCTATTTTGTGTTTTTCTACAGACTCTTTGTTTAGATAACTTCTCCATGTTGCATGTTTTAGAGTATTTTTCTATCTTCTGGTTTTATGCAATATTCTAAGAAAGATAAACAGGACTTTACTATTAACTAGGATGGGTTTATCCCATCCTAGAGATCACTCCATTCATATTGTATGGAATCTATTCTGTAAAATACATCATAACAGAGAATCTCCTCTTTTGCCTGTACCAGTCATCTGAAGTTGGCTGATGGATAACGAAACAAGTGAATAAGGAAGAAGCAAGTTTGGTAGATGTTCTCTTGTTGTTTAAGAAAGAAATAATTCTTTGTGTTTATTCTTCAGTATATCTTAAAATATTTTTGGATTTTGTACTTTTGTAAGTTGGTGTTTTGTTTTGGTTTTTAACTTATTTTCCTATTAAAATCTAATGAAAGACTTTACAGCAAAATATCTCCAGGACAGCTTCCGTTAACTTCCAATGTTCCATTCTGATGCTTTACCAAGAGTCACTAAGGTTGTAATCCATAGTATTAGAAATATCTTAAACGCTTATTTAGACAATTTTTGGGAGTATCTCAGTCTTAACTTTTAAATGAGTGACCTGTATCATAAGTTGTTACTGTATGAATATACAAGGAAAATATGATTTCTTTAAGAATTATTAGTTTGAAAATAGAGACTGTAGTGTTTTTCCTTCCTGTTCCTTCATGCTTTCTTTTGGCTGTCTATATGAGGTACTGTTGCCTTTTTCCTCATAAATCTGACTAGGGCCTCTGTTGATAGCACCTCTCCTCAGAACTTCTGTGGCTCGCAGCCAGTTCTGTGCAACTGCTTTTGTGGTATTTTACTGTTTTTCACTTCCTAGTTTATCCACACACGTATCTGTTCTTATTAGCAGCTTCCACGCATGTTTCATGATTTCAGATCTAGCGATTCCTTTCCAAAACCTGTCTGTGCTTTCCCCAGGTCTGAGGGATCTGTCAGGAAGTCATGGTTTGAGAGGCAATTGAAGTATCAGCTACCTGATTTTATGCCCTGTTATTGTTAAAAACAAGTATGTTCAAAGCACCATGATCTGTCATCTTCTGTGTCTTCTTGTTTCATCTTCTGCCACTTAGTGGCAATGTAAATGACAAAGAAGAAGCTGTTACATGTCTCAGAATAATCGTAGTCTAGAAGGAAGTATTTCTGCAACTGCTGTTCTCCCTATTGTAATAAGAGAACAAAGGATCATTCAATAAAATGTTTAAATTTACTCTTGAGTATTCAAAAGGTACTTATAGATTTTTCACATATGGTTCATGGCCTTTCTGTACTTGTTTATAACTGCATCTTGTGGTTAAACATGTGGCCTGAGTTGTTTCAAAAAGTACTGATCTTTCTATTAATATATCTATGTATATTAAACATGTGGGTCATAATAGTGGTTCTAAATTGTTAGTCCTGTTGTATAATACAAGCACCATGGTGATACAGTGTACTATGTTACAAACTACTGGTACAGATCAGGGAATTTGAGAGGAGTATCTTGGCAGTAGGAATCACCATCAGATGTGGCAACAATTGCTGAAGAATCCAAGGTGAAACACAGCTATATGTATCTCTAGACAGTCTTTTAGAGTCTTGTTTTTAGTGCTGTCAAGTTACTTCTGGTTCCTAGAGAAGTCAAGGATATGATTGAGATTCCTTGTGTGCTCTCTGCAATTGATACTGACAGCCAGACAGAAACATCTGGTCAATAATACAAATTTGGAATGATTCCTTCATGTAACTGGGTTATTTTTGCAAGGATTTATCAGTAAAACCTCAAGTTTACAATCTGTTCTTGCACAGTATATGTGGTGCTCTTGAAATGGTTGACAAAGTGTATGTGCATGTACATAAAATGCAAAACACAAGTGTGTAGTATATTGTTGACTTCACTTTCTTTTTCTGCAACTTCTGTAAACAGTACAAACTCATGGTACTTCCTAGCAGACTGAAAAGAGATCCTTTTGTGTTCCTCTAAGGCTTGCTAATTTTTAGATATTCCTAAATGTTTCATTATTCACCTATGGTACTTTATTGGCTTTTATAAACACTTCAAATATCATCATGTTTTATGTTTCAGTTATGTCTGCAATCCCAGTAAGCTAAATAGTACAAGACTTTTCTTGGTATTCTCTGTATTTCTGTTAGAATCCATTATCTCAGCCTTATGCAAAATGATACTTTGGTGGCTTTGCAGCATAATAAATCTCTATACTTGGAAAATATTAAAGTAAAACATAGGGCTTGTGATTTATATTATTTCTTATTTCTTTTACTGTTATTCTTATCTGTGTATCTCTGTATACTGTAATTGCATTGCTGCATTGAGTGCTGTCCTGCCCTGTTTACAGCTGTATGTTCTTTTTGTTTTGCTTTTCTTAGAAAACAATCTAAATTTTCAGAAGTTTATAATAATACATCTTTGTAAAATGTCAGAGGTTGCAAGGAAGCCATAGAATACACTGAATCATGCTGAGAAGTGGATGCTTTCCAGCACTCTTCTGTTGTAATCCATTAGTAAATATGTTATCTGTCAGTTTTTAACACTTGAAAATATGATGCGTTCCTAGAATTCATGTTCAGTATTTGAAGCATACAGCAAGCATACCTTTGTACTTTAAACTACTGTTAACCTTCCTGCACTGTAAAGCTAGAAAGTTGCTGAACAAACATGGCCAATCAGATAACAATTTTGCCCCGTGCACCTCTAGGTCAGTAAGAGGAAAGAAATTCCTCAGAGCCAAAGAATTCTGTCCCATCACTATCTAAAGGAGTGGAAGGAGTGAGCAAATGTCACATTGTACTGTTAGCAGCAAAGTGTAGCTTTTTCTTTGAATAGAGATTTGGTTGTTCTTCCTGTGTTTGTTATATTGGCAGAATAAATATGCAGTCTGCTCTGGGACCTTAAGGGGTATTGGAAAAACTAATGGTGAAAATCTAAGAAACCTCTAAAAGTGCAGTAGGTACGTAGTAAAATTTTACTGAAATAATCAAAATGTAAGATATTTGCTGAATATCTATAGCACTATCAGTTCAAACTTTTTGTAAATTTAAAATGCTACTTTGTAACCACTCTACTTATAAACAAGTTAGCTGTGTTTTTCAGAGCAATACAATCAATCTATTTTTAAATGCTAGCTAACCTTTCAAGCCGCCTTAAATCTGAGAGTGCTTTGATCCGGGGACAAAAAGATCTCTAGACGAAAGAGTACTGAACAGACTAAGATTACTGAAAGTATTACAAATACCCTACTTTGAGATGGGGGGGAGTAAGATGCCAGCATCAAAAAATCTGAGTAGTTAATCTTGGTCAGGTCCTACTGCATTTGAATTCATGTAAAGTTACGCTGGTTTTGACCCCACCTTTCATTAGAGAACTTGTCCCTGTAGTAGAAATGTGAAGTTCAGCTGTTCTCCAGCTTGGACCCACAGATGATGCAGCTCAGAGTCCTAACCATCAGGCTATGAGGGAGACTGGGTGAGATAATCCATTTCTCCTCTTGAAACAGAAGCAGGGACATTCTGCCCTGTATACAAAGAGACTAGGCATGAAGGACCCACAATATATCCTAAATTACTAGAGTACTTAACCATGAGGGAGGCTTGGTAGGTTGTAACTGCTTGGGTTTTCCTTTAATTTTATTTATTTTAATCCAATGATTGCCTACTCTGGATGTATAAGCAGTCCCAGAGGTGTGCATTGCAGTCTGAAGGTGTATTCAAGGTGATGCAAGGTAATGATGATTGTGTTGTATTGGTTCATATTGGGCTTGTATATCTTATGCAATATATATGGCACAGTTGTATGTGCGATTACCTGAGGAACCTTATTTACAAACTCCTTTCCATGACTTTTTCGTGTCTTTATCTGCTTGTTATGAGGAATCTGTATCTTAGTGGTCTTTTGAATGATATGAAATCCTGAAGCAACACTTCTATCAGTTTCTACTTCATGGTTAGTTGAAAGTAGATTCTCAGTCAAGGGAGACAGAGTTAGGTTTCTTAATGAAACACTTGCGATATTGTTTTCCTAGTCTTAGCTGTTGGGGGTTCCCTCGTTATTTCAAGTGTTGGGGCACTTAAACATGAGTATAGTGCCTGAAATTAGTGTAATTAGGCAAAATAAATAATAAATATTAATTGCTAATTTTATGCTGAAAATTGAACTGCAATGGATAGCAGCTGACAAGCTTTTAAAGTAGCAGAAGTGCAGAACAGCAGATGGGTTATTTGAGGAGTGCAAGCATGTTATTATAATGTTAAGTACACTCAAAAAGGAAAGACATATGGTAACAGGTTTGAAGACAACTGAAGACTAAGTTCACAGTTTAAACATTTACATTTGTTGAAGTGTGATGGAAATTTTTTTTTTTCCAAGAACATTTCACAGAAGCATCAGACCAATATGTCACTCCTCTGAAAACTATTAAATTCTTTCCTTCCTGACCCTCAAAGATTCTTTGAGCTACAGTAGATTTCCCAGAATCGCAGAACCTTTTAACATCCCTCTCAGTTCATTAACAAACTTGTTTCCTTCTGGGAGTCGTCCAGGTGGGCAGAACAGAAGAGCTCGTTGGTACATGCGGTGTATGATGATAGATACACTGACATTTTGTGGGACAGGGATGTATTTATCAATTAAAGGGAATAGGCTACGCTATTCTCTTTTCCCAAGGTCAGTTGTAGTTGCACTACAGTGTGTGATGTTGGCTGAACTTACACTTTTTTTTTTTACTTCCTTGTTAAATAGAGCACTGGGAATTATTCAAGGAAAGGGCAGTAATATGTGACTGGACAAGAAATAGGGATCTGCTAGGCTTGCCAAAATCATAAAATCATAGAATGGTTTGGTTGGAAGGGACCTTAAATATCATCTAGTTCCAAACACCCTCACGTGGGCAGGGACACCTTCCAGTAGACCAGCTTGCTCAAAGCCCCATCCAGCCTGGCCTTGAATACTTCCAGGGATGGGGCATCCGCAGCTTCTCTGGGCAACCTGTTCTAGTGCCTCACCACCCTCACAGTGAAGAATTTCTTCCTTATACCTAATCTAAATCTTCCCTCTTCCAGTTTAAAGCCATTGCCCTTTGTCCTATCACTCCATGCCCTTGTAAAAAGTCCCTCCCCAGCTTTCTTGTAGGCTCCCTTTAGGTACTGGCAGGCTGCTATAAGGTCTACCTGGACCCTTCTCTTCTCCAGGCTGAACAACCCCAACTCTCTCAGCCTGTCTTCATAGGAGAGGTGCTCCAGTCCTCAGATCATCTTTGTGGCCGCCTCTGGACTCACTCCAACAGGTCCATGTCCCTCTTGTGTTGGGGTCGCCAGAGCTGAAGGCGGTACTGCAGGTGGGGTCTCACCAGAGCAGAGTGGAGGGGGAGAATCACTTCCCTGGACCTGCTGGTCACGCTGCTTTT